CTCTCTCTCGAACCCAAGAATGTAATATATAATTAAGTTTGAGGGGCGGGTTTGTTAGTAGCCAGGTAGGTACTTTAAAATTCGTGCATGAAGAATGAAGATTGTATAATATCTATGTAATGCCAACTGCCTAGCCTACACTTTTGGTAATTTATTTATGAGGCCAACACTTTTGGGAATTTATGAGGCCAGCAGGGACTCGGGAATTTAATTAAAATATTAAGTTATGTTTGGTAAAACTAGTTGATAAGTTAGCTTATAATTTATTAGTAATTTTCGTGCTTGTAGCTTATAATTTATAGCTGAAAAGCTAGCTTATATGATAAAAGTGTTTGGTAGAATTCGCTGATAAGCTAGCCGGAATAAAAAAAAAAAAATCAACTAGCTTATTTGTAAAGTTACAAAAAAAAGTTTAGGCTATATGTTTGGTAAAACTAACTGATAAACTAGCTGATAGCTAATAAGCTAACTTATAGCTTATAACTTATACCTGAAAATCTAGCTTATATGATAAAAATGTTTGGTAAAATTAGTTAATAAGCTAGCTGGAATAAAAAATTCAACTAGCTTATTTGAAAAACTACCTAATTAAGAAGCTTATCAAATAAGCTCGAGCTTTTTAAAAAATATTGTCCTACCAAACGAGGAGAACTTATGAGCTAATCAAATAAACTATAAGTTAGCTTTTTGTCTACCAAACATAGCCTTAATCAAATAAGCTCGAACTTTTTAAAAAAGCTCGTCATACCAAATAAGACTTTTTGAATACATGGAACTTATAAGTTAACCGAATAAGCAATATAAGTTAGCTTATCTATCTACCAAACATAGCCTAAATTAACTTACATCCTAAACTTTTTGTATATTTGGTATTTTTCACTATTATTATCTCTTTAAATATACAATTATTACTACTTTCATTTTGCACTAAAAAATATTTAGAGTGTCGGTGGATATTATAAGTTTTGGGTTTTCATTTACCATGGCTAAAAATATACTAATGCCCTCATTCAGATTTTCCTCTTATGTTTTGTTTTTTATTCTTTAAATTAAATATAATATTTATTACACATTCTACATAAAAAAATAAAAAAATAATAGTCTGCGATGTATATTTTAGAGTTTCCCCATCCCGTCAACTTATAGTGTTTTATGGTGTTTAGTAATTGTATGTTATTTATGGTCTTTTGCAATTCATATGTGTCAATTTTTTGATATTTTGGAGTAGTTTTTGTATGTACAAATTCTTACACATGCCTAATAGAATGTAAAATTATAAAATAATTTTTTAAATTTAATCTTATTTAAAAAATATAGTAGTTTTTTTATTTATTATCAATGTTTCATTATGAAACATATAGGATTAATCATCTTTTTGATATTTTTTAATTAACATTGATGTTGCATATATATCTAAAATAAAAACGGTTATATCTCTCTTCATAAATGAAAATAAAAAATTATGACAATCCAAATTGAATAACAAATATATTTTTATCAATAAAATAAATTAATCTATCAAACTTATTGTATAATATAAAATATAAAAAAATTTATAATACAAATCAAGTTGATCCCTATGATCATGAGTGACATTTTAAATAAATATAATAATATAAATATTTGAATGTTTTAAAATAAAACCTATTATTTAAAAAATAATATTTTATTATTAATCCACACGCATGTAATTATTGTACTTTTTACTTAGTATCCTATTAATTTATTCATATCTTTATTGATGTCATTATTATTTATTTTTCACTATCAATTAACTATCCCCCTATATATTAATACAGAACGCGCTGAGCCTACGTGGCTGCTTCTGGTGCTTCAGAATCTTATGTGGCAAAATTATATGCTTCGTTATTAGGCTTGGGTAAATTTTAATTTAATTCCAAACCAAAAATAATTAGGTTCAGATTACCATAAATATGTTGATTATTTATGGTCATGTTACATGTATTAATTGTATTTTAATATCATTCCTTATTGTAACTATTGAATTATATATATATTTTAAAAGCTAATAACTTTTGTATTTTTTATCAGTTTTACATATGTAATATATCAAATTAATCTTCTTTTGATGAGCCTCGATTTAACATCCATATTGTATGTATAAAAAAATAATGTATATTTATCTTTATAACAATAATATAATTATTTTTAATATTAATTAGAAAAATAAAATTATTCATCAACTAATATATT